GGTGAATCCAACCCATAGTAACAATGTATTTTTCTCCTCCTAGAATGAGAAGAAGAACTTGATATATGCACAGACTCGGAATCTGTAACAGCTTGAAACACTTTTAGCGATTGAAACGAATAAGAAAGGAAAGGTGATGTGAAATAGATATGGCGTTTGAAACAAAGAAGAAAGGGAAGGGGATGAGAAACACTAGGGCAACGAAGAACACAATACAAATAAATATAACATTTAATTTAAATAATTTTTTATTTATAATGACCTGGAATGAAAAATATGACATGCTGTTAAAAAAATTTCCACCTAAGCGTTTTTTGGGTCAAATTTGGGATGGGGGACCAAAACCGTTTAAAAAAGAAAATGAGGGAACTAAAACCGTGAGTAGACTAAAATAAGAGGACCAAAACTGTAGTTTAGCTAAATATTTAATAAGCTAAATGATTCTTGTTCTTTTTATGTTCCTATTTTAAAACAGTGGTTGGCAAGAAAGTATAATTTATCTGAATAGAATTATCGAAACATAATTCAAAAACTACATAGGAATTTATTCTACATATAATTTTATACGAATGGTATTATTCGGATAAACATATAAAATATGTTCGAATTTTACTTTTCATAAAATTTTGAAAAGAGTTAATTTTGTAAATTCATAAAATTTGAAAGAAACATTAGTCATCGTTTTATTATTCTCTTTGTTTATTGTTACGGAATATTATAGCTACATAAATAGAAAATATAGAATATCTATTCTATTTTAATTTGGAATATTATAGCTAAATAAATAGAAAATATAAAATATTTATTCTATTTTAATTCGAAATACTATAGCTACATAAATAGAAAATATAGAATATTTATTCTATTTTAATTTGATGTCATTATAAACTTATTTAAAGAATAAAGGTGGAATAATAAAAGTAAAAATTATATTCTCTAATTGTTGTTATATAATAAATACACTAAATTGGAAATAAATAAATAAATTATTTTATTTTAAATTAGATATCATCAATGAATTTTTTTGAGATAAAATTGGAACAATAATAGAGCCAATCCAGCAAAAAATATATTCTTTTTATTTATTATTATAAAATATTATAAAAATTTAATCATACCTGACCAGAAGGGGATCGATGATCTGCCATGCGTCATTGATCTGCAAGCTGCTCACCAAAGTGTTGAAGAGGAAGGGGGTGTACCTAAAACACACTCTGATGCCAAAGTAAGTGACGAGCAGAGTGAAAGCAAGTACAAAGAGAGAGTAAGAAGATTAAGTTACCTGACCCTCTAGTGAAGAGGGTATTTATAGTGAGCCCCCAGCGTAAGGCCAACGGTTACCTAGCACTGGGCTGGGCTGCCAGGCCCAATGTTAGCAGCTGCTAGGGCTGACGTGGCGTCGTGGGGAACATCACGTGGTCTTCACCCTAGTGTAACTGCTCCGCACTATCCGGAAGGAGGAAGGCCGAATCTCCCGGATGTGGGTAGTTACTTCATGAAGTGTCCCTGCGTGAGGGACACGTGGATAACGTGGGGGAGGCCTTAAGGAGCACCCAGGCAGACAGGGTAGTTTGGTCGGATGTGAAGGTCTTGCCCGACACTGGGGGGAAGAGGCCGGCTGACCGGTCAAAAGGGTTCTGCTCGACAGCAATTAGTCTGTGCCCGACGGGGATGAAGGATGTGCCCGACAGATCCCTGGATTGTCAGCATGGCTCAAATGAGGCCCAATCCCAGTGGGGTTTAGGCCTGCTAGACAGTTGGCTAAGCGTTGGCCCAGTCCAAAACAAAATTATTTTTAAATTCATTAAATAACTGATGTATCTGATTCATATATAAATCAAATTTATTAATTATTTAATAACTTAAAATAATTATTAAATACTTTTAAAAAGTTAATTTTGATGTGAGTGTAAGGTTATGTCTTGAAGTTCATTCATAGCTATTTTATAATTATATTTCATTAAGAAAACACATAAGTAATTGTATATTTATTTAACATATATGTACATTTGTACTAATTCTTATACTCTTATTTAAAACATATATTAAGATTTATTAACATTTGACACATAAGAGAAAGAAGATAATAAAATTATGTAGAAATATTTATATTATTAGCGTTGGTTGAAAATATACATATTGATACTTTTTATGGTGGAATATGATTGTCGGTAAAGACAATAAAATCTTATTTATTATTTTCAATTAATGTGCAAATTGTTGGGATTCGTTGAAAATATACATGTTAAAAATGTTCTACATCGTTTAATTTTGTGAATGAAGAGAGAGTTCAAGAATATATATAATACATAAGTTATTTGAAGTCTCAAATCACTTAATTTTGTGAAAGAAATGAGAGTCAAATGTTATATATATGATTCAAGTTTCTCATTTCAAGATGCACCAGTCAAATATTTGTTTTAGAAGATGTGAGTGTACTAGGGTCTAGGTTAGTTAAGAGTATATTATGTGTTGTAACAATTTTCACATAGTATTTGCAATCATAGTATGTGAAAATTGTTACAACACATAATATAATCTGAACTAACCCAGACCCCTATACACTTACACTCTCCAAAACAAATATTTAACTACATCTTACAACACTCTAATACAAGAGTACTCCAATACAAGAGTATAAGAGAACAAATAAAATCAAATATTTAACTAGATTTTACAACAGTCTAACATAAGAGTATAAGAGAATAAATAAATTCAAATACAAGTTTAAAGTGTTTTTGACTAATACATCTTGAAATGAAAGACTTGAATCTTATATATAGTCTAAAACTCTTATTTCATTTACAAAACTAAACGATGTAAGATTTATTCAATATATATAATTTCAACCAACCCCAACAAATATCTCATAATGTACTGGTCAGAACCCTCAATTCTCTATTTCTTCATATATAATTTGTGAGTTTTGTTGTTATTCTCTCTAAAATAAAAGTAAGATAAAATAAAGAATAATATCTTATATAATAGAATTAATATATTATTTGTATAACTAAAATTAAAATTAAAATATAATAAAGATAATAGTATAATTATAGGCATAGATACATCGACATATTAAAAAATAATAAAAAATAATTCTTTTTAAATATTATAAAAAAATTAGAAAATAGAAAATAATAAAGTTTTAAAAGTTAGTCAACAATAAAAAAACATATTACTTAATATGATAAAAAAAAATTAAAGTTTTAACATAATTAACATTTTACTATTTATCTCTTTCCCCTTTAAATATGTAGCCTTTGATACAACGTATCACAAACATTTAGATATATCTTATTTATAACTTTTCTTTGCAAATCAAACTTAAGTGTAATGGAAACTATGGTGAAGATGTTGTTCAAATTTTTGGTGCTTCTTGTTGCTATCATAGGTGTTATGGCAGGCAATGTCGGAGCTTTAGTGAAATGTTGCCCAAGTTGGGAGTGGTGCGACGACCTTCCCTGTCCTAAGCCTCCATGTTGCGACCCAGGAGCGTCTCTGTTGCAACCCTCCGTTGAAGTATAAGAAACAGTAAACTTATGTTTCTTATTTGATATTTTTACACCAATCATTATGTATTTGAGAAGTGTTCAATCTGATACCTAGTCACGTTAATAAGATTGGTGAATAAATTTTATGTAATAATCAAACATTAAAGATACCCACCCTTGTTTGGTGACAATAATGTCTTTGTTCAAAAATATGGCAAATCAGTTCATCTTTTGCTTGATGAAAGAATAGGAATTTTTTTTACGTAAATGCTACAAACTGAAAATTAAAATATCAAATTGCCACAAGTTGAAAATTTTTTTGGTTGGGCGACCCAATGAAGCTGCATTTCCTCTAGTTGGGGTTCGGCCATCCGTTGGCCGACCCAACACCACGTGGTTTTTTTTTTGTTTTTTCAGAAAAAAAAAAAAAAAATATATATATATATATATATATATATATATATATATATATATATATATATATATATATATATATATATATATATATATATATATATATATATATATATATATATATATATATATATATATATATATATATATATATATATATATATATATATATATATATATATATATATATATATATATATATATATATATATATATATATATATATATATATATATATATATATATATATATATATATATATATATATATATATATATTATTTTATGTTTTAAATTGTTTTTTATATATTAAAATTATTTAAATGATATTTTGTATTAATAAATAAATAATTTAATTATTTTAAATCATTTTTTAATATTATTAAATATTCTTCACATTATGTAATTAATTATTTAACTAAATAATTATATAAAATAATAAATTAAATCATAAATAAAGGAAATTTTTTTTTAATATTTATGAGTGGAAAAAATACATTATTTTTATCTACGCAAATGACCGCCAATTCCACACATTTTAGTCTTTTTCACACGTTTCCCCCTGCCTAACTCTTGGGGTTGCCGTCTTGGAGGTGATGGGTATGTCTACATCTTCACAAGTTGTTGTTTCAATTTTTATTTTTTGACTTAATAATTTTCATATGTTTTACTGATCATTTTGTTTAAATATTTTCATCTACAGGATATGCACTAACAGAGATAACATTTAACTACTACAGGGGCGAATTACGAAGAACAGATAGAGCAGCCTTGGAGTGGATTGACAATATTCTCAGAGAGAAGTGGTCGAGAGCGTTCGACGGAGGACAGCGGTGGGGACACATGACCTCAAATTTGGCCGAATATATGAACTCGGTACTTAAGGCTACCCGAAACCTTCCTATTACAGCATTGGTTAAGTCAACGTACTATCGTCTAGAATCGCTGTTTGGAAAACGAGGACACGATTGGACAAAAATTAATGTTGGCATCCGGTCAAACTTTCACGCAAAACTGTAACAAGGGAATGGCCGACGAGGCGATTAAATCTAACAACCATAATGTCATTCAATTTGATCGCGAGAGATTCTGTTTTATGGTTGCCGAAAGCATTAATCAACGCGATGGCCGACCATTAGGTACTTTTAGCATTGATCTCAGGAGAGGATGGTGCGATTGTGGGAGGTTTCAGGCATTTCATTTACCTTGCTCCCATGTAATCGCAGCATGTGCCAGTATAGGACAGAACCATAACATGCACATACCAGATGTTTTCAAGGTTCTAAGTGTATTCAAAGTATACAGTCAAAGCTTCCTTGGACTTCCACACCAGCAAAATTGGCCAACATATGAAGGATTCACTCTTTGCCATGACGAGACAATGCGAAGAAATAAGAAAGGGCGTCCAAATAGTACAAGAATTACAACTGAAATGGACGATTTTGAGAAAGAAAAGAGAAGATATGGAATTTGTCGAAAAATCGGTCACATGCGGAGAAAATGTCCGAACGTGGCAGACCCATCAAATCGGCCCGTCTAAAAATGATGTATTTTTTCCACTCATAAATATTAATAAAATTTCCTTTATTTATGATTTAATTTGTTATTTTATATAATTATTTAGTTAAACAATTAATTAGATAATGTGAAGAATATTTAATAATATTAAAAAATTATTTAAAATAATTAAATTATTTATTTATTAATATAAAATATCATTTAAATAATTTTAATATATAAAAAACAATTAATTAGATAATGTGAGTAATATTTACTAATATTAAAAAATTATTTAAAATAATTAAATTATTTATTTATTAATACAAAATATTATTTAAATAATTTTAATATATAAAAAACAATTTAAAACATAAAATAATAATATATAATATATATACATTTCTGAAATAAAAAAAATAAAAAAAAACCACGTAGTGTTGGGTCGGCCAACGGATGGCCGAACCCCAACTAGAGGAAATGAAACTTTATTGGTCGTCCAACCAATGGACGAACCCTAGCTAAGATAGTGGCAGATTTGAAATTTTTTTTTAACTTCTGACAATTTAGTATTTTAATTTTTAGTTTGTGGCATTTACGTAAAAAAATTCAAAGAATAGGTTTGAAAATCTTTATTGGGTTGTCTGGTTTTTTGTTGTTATGGTGATTTTGTGGATAAAGTATCAATCTTTTTTGTTTTTCCATTTATGGATTGTGTTTGCAGATTCTAGATTTGTGTCTTATGATTTATATTTTCAGGAATTTTTCAGTGCTTTCATTGATTTTCGGTGCTTTCATTGAGAATAATAGACAAATTCATGGGATTGTTGTTGTTGATGGGATGAGAGAATAAAAAATTATCGTATCTTGTGAAATTTTTAATTTAAAATTTTTTGAGTGAATTTTATATAAAGATGCTTGAAGATGATGATGACAATGATGAAGGAGAAGATAGAAGAAGATGAAAAAATTTAAATAAAATTAAATATTGATGGTTTATTTTTGGATTTAATAGACCTGTGAAATCAAATTGTTTGATTTTTATTAACAAGATCTAATGGTTAATTTAAAAAAATAAAAAAGTGCACGATAAACGTCCAATAATATTGTATTACATAAGATATTTAGAGTTAAAAAATAATAGAATTATCTAAATTGACTAATAAAATAGTTTTTGAAGGATTAAAACTTATTTTTTATTAAATAAGAGACCAAAACGAATTAAGAATCAAAACATCAACAATATCTGTTATAATACTTTCTTTCATGATGAAGGAATTAATTGGTGTAGTTTTTCTAATAAAAAATGTTAAAGCAATTAAATACAACTAGTTGAATTGGACAATAAAATGGAGTCAAACTCATAAAGATTTGCATAAAAATGTGGGACGAGAAATTAATTTTTCAAATTATAATTATAGATCGAGGTGGCAAAACGGTTTAGTTCTGTCGGGTCTGTCTGTTTAATTTATTATTTTTGACGGATCAAAGCGAGATTTTTGGTTTAGTGTCTTAAGTTGGCACGCTCCGCCTAATTCATTTTTAAAACGGACCGAGGACGGGGCGTGACTTATTGTGTCGACAAATTTTTTGTTAAAAAAATTATTGTTTTATTTGGAATTAAAACAATATTAATGTGGTTTATAATAGACATACTTTTAAAACAACATCATTTCTTCAAACCCTAACGTTCATTTTTACATAACCACAAACACCTCATTTTGAAAACATTAATGAGTCTATGTTTCTTTTTTAATTTTCAATTATAGTAGAAAAAGTCTTTATTGCAAAATATAGAGAATACATTTTTTTTTTCTATTACTCGTTGTCATTGAAGCCGGATTCTAAAACTATAAGGTAAGTTTTGCACAGAGAGGTTTGTTTCTCATTATGATAATAAAATTTTGAATTGTATTTTATTCTATTTGAGTTCTCATTTTATTTATTTTTTGACACTAAAATGCTCAATTAAAGTGCTTATTATTTGTATTGATAATTTTTAAATAATGAATCTTTGATTTTTCTTGAATTGTTTTATTTTTGAAATGCTTCCATTATTAAATATTGATAAACCTACTTAGTTGTCTTTGTTTATCTTGTGCTAGTTTGTTTTCTTAATTTGTATCCCTATGTTCTTAATTAGGTTGCGCTTGCTGGTATTTTGAATCCAAAAGGATTATTTTGGATTTCAGTGTGTTTGTTTTGAGTTTTTGTTATTATAGTTAGGTTTTTTGTTTATGTCGAAAAATATGACATTTACATTAAGATTCGTTAAAGGTTTATTATACGTTGTTAAAATTTGTCGATCTCTGTAGTAATGATTAACAATTTTGTAAATTACGTAATAAATTAAATGGGAAAAAAATTAGTGAGCGGGCTTTTCAATCTGCCAACTTATTAGTAAATAAGACGAATTTAACTTTTGAATTCAGACGCCTAAGTTAGTCTATCCCGTCTCACTCCTTTTTAAACAGACTTAAATATAACAGGTCTAAAAAGGACGAATCGCCCACTATACCACCCCTAATCATACACAATTAAATACAAAGATCATCACAATAATTTCATGCTCACGAATGAATTGAATAGGCATCATCACATTCAGAGAAAAAGAGAGATAAGAGTGTGAACATAGAAGGAAACTATTCTTTATCCTGATATACTAAAACCAAATAGACATAAGAGGAATAAGAGGAGGCTTCTCTCTTGAAGTAATTCACTTGATGATTTCATATTAATTAATATATATATATATATATATATATATATATATATATATATATATATATATATATATATATATATATATATATATATATATATATATATATATATATATATATATATATATATATATATATATATATATATATATATATATATATATATATATATATATATATATATATATATATATATATATATATATATATAAATATAAAATAAAATAAAATAATATTTTTTTATCAGAGTACCTTTATTCTATTTTCAAAATTATCAAATATATAAACTACTATGATATATTAAATTGAGTGTAGCTCATAGAGACAATGAATTGAATTTCCTTATCTCACTGCAAGATAAATGGTTTTTGCTAGCGAAATAGATGAGAAAAATAAGTATAAAGTTGAGACAAATTTTTTAAAGTGTATCGAGGATATTAAATTTAAAGGAGAGTTTTGCTTAAAATCCAAAATTCAATGAAAAAAATTGATTATAAATCTTTTTACATAGTTGTTTTTATTATAGCAAATTTGATTTCTCATGTGCTCTTCCTCAAGAAATATGACATCATGTGGTCTAAAAACTTGACGGGAAAGAAAAATTATATATGATTTTCTGAAAATATTTTGTTAAAAAATCATGAAACTCTTACTCATTATAAGTTTTAGAAATACATAAAATAGAAAGATTTGCAAATTGGTAAAATTCACTAATGCGTTAATAAAGATGTCTTTTAGCGATACCACATAGTCTTGAAAATTAATTGTCTCATTTAAATTTGCAATGAACATGATGTTACTTGTTTCATTAGTTTTGAGATGAATTTTCTGATGTGAGTTATCTTATTTTGTTTTGAGATGAATATTCTAAAATGAGTTATTTAATTTATGTTGAGTTTTAATTATAACTAGTTAGCATTTTTGTTATAAATTGTCTGTTAGTTAATTATTTTGTGTATGAATGATTTGCTTAACAAATTATTGTGTAATACATATAAATAATATTTTATAATGTGAAAATACAATCAATGAGAATCATTTATATTCTCTCTTATTCTCTTTCAAGATGTCTTCAAAGATGTCTAAACATTAGAGTGTGTGTGCATGTGTGTTATTACTTTCATCTTGCAATTACAATTTTGTTGCGCATTAACTGTGTGTGTTCATCACAGTGCTTGTATTCTAACAATTGGTATCAGAGTCTGGTTCAATCCAAGAGAAACTTGAGTGAAAAGTGAGGGGTTCAATAAAAGGGAAACACTGAGTGATAGTTTCTTGATAGGCAAGATGAATAGCAATGGTTTTGGATCAAATATTCTGGTTATTGATGCCAAGAACTGGAATCGTTGGAGTACTTTGATGAAGTCTTTATTTGGAGTGCAAGAAGTGAGTGAAATTGTGCAAAATAGTTATAAGGAGCTGGTGGTGAATCCAACTGATGCACAGAGAACTGCATTCAAGGAAGCCAAGAAGAAAGACTGCAAAGCTTTGTCCTACATTCAGCAGAATATTGACAATCAACACTTTGAGAAGATTTCTAAAGCGACAAGATCCAAAGAAGCATGTGAAATTTTAGAAAACTATCGCACTGGTGGAGAAAAGGTGAAGCAAGTGAAGCTACAATCCAATAGAAGAAAGTATGAGATGATGCAGAGGGAAGAATATCATATAGCAAGTGATTACTTTTCAAAATTAACAACCATTGTTAATCAGATGCAAACTTGTAGTGAGAACATTACAGATCGAATGGTAGTAGAAAAGGTGTTAAGATCTCTGAGTCCAAAGTTTGATTTCATAGTTGTAGCTATCCAAGAAGCAAAGGATGTGAAAACTATGAAAATTGAAGAGTTGCAAAACACACTGGAAGCACATTACCTCCTGGTGCTTGATAGAAGTTCTGAGAGAGCAGTTCAACAAGCATTTCAAGTTCAAACTTCCAAGAAGGAGGGGAATCATAAGAATTTCAAGAAGAAGGGAAAAAGCAAAACAAATTGGTTCAACAATGAAAAGAACAAGAGTGAAGACAAAGCTGAATCTTCCAAAAGAGGAGGCTTTGGCAGAAGTCAGAACAAGAAGAGGGATTTTGACAAAATTAAGGTGCAATGCTACAACTGTGAGAAGTATGGGCACTTTTCTGATGAATTCTAGTTCAAGAAAGGTCAAAAGACTGATGAAGAAGCAAATTTGGCTCGTGGAGATGATTCCAGTACAGTGGTAATGATGGCTACTACCAGTGATGAAAGGATTAAGAATGAAGAATGGTTTCTTGATTCTGGATGCTCAAATCACATGACATCACATAGAGAATGGTTGACAAGTT